GAGCGGTTCGTCGACGCTGGCTCGCTGAGGAGAGATCAGCGCAGGATGCGGCGCGTCGCGTTTCGAACGTTGCGAGTGTCGCGTAACTTATTTTGTGTTTTGTCTTGGCCTCCCCTTTTTCAACTTTAGCAGAGAGAGTGTCCCAATGTCCAATTTACTATTTATTGACATCTGTGATATTGGCGCTATTCGCCTTTTATATTATATATACATTTTTAATTTTAATTTTATTATATACTTGCTGACTATTGGACGGGACGCCTCTCTGCTGGTTTTAATTATTTATCTATTTATTGTATATACTTTTGTACCTTTTACTCTTTATTAGCTAAGCTATTTTAATCTATACTTCTTTCTACTCTATTCTTTTCTATCTTCTTTCTATTTCCTTTTCTTTCATTTTCTAAGTACTATTGTACTCCTCTTTTAATCTTTTACCTTTATACCTTTCTATATTTTATACTATCTGTTTGTGGGGCCCTGACCGTTCGAGTGTATATGCCGCGTTCGCAATTTTTGTATTTTATCCGAGTGTGAATGTGCGCGATATACATTTATTAATTTTATTATCATGTATTATTTTGCTGCGCGCGCTCCTCCGGGACTTTTATCTATTGACGACACCTCTGTGATATCCCGGAGGAGCATCAATCTGTGATAACGAATCCCCCCAGCTTGCGTGCTGGGGGGATGAAAATATTGTGATGATTGCGAAGACTGGGGGGCTTGCCCCCCAGTCCTTTAGTCTTAATAGCCCATGCGGGGGGGGGGGGCTTTGTCCCCCGCAATAAATATATTTTTACTGGCGCGCGGCATAGCCGCTTATATTTGTATCACACCGGAGAGGTATTGTCTCTCCGGGGAAATAACTTGGAAATAAAATTGAGTTATAATTTCAGCTTCTTACTGTTAATATTATTGTGAGTTGAATCGATTTGTCACTGTGTGTGTAACAAGTAGCATCATCATAAATTATAATCTACCTAAAATGATTACTGTAAGGCGTGTAAAAGACCTAGTGGTTATTTCGTAATACATACGTGTAGAGGAATAGTAAAGCATGTTGTATAGAGCAAAATACAAGTGCTTTGCTTTCGTATTCTTTGTTCAGTTTATTGAAACCCTTGCATTTTTGCCATATATCCCACCCATTTATATAGCAAAAATGCAAGATTTCAAAAGGTTTATTTTTTAATACGAAAACTTAAATATTTCGGATTTCTAATATTATATTTTTTTCATAGTAGGAGACAGTACAAAATTTTTACTGATATAGTTCGTTTATTTTAAACACAGTAAATAATACTTAATAAATTAAATTTTTGATAGGTGCGGCATATATACCGGAGTTACCTTATCTTCGATTTATCCGCTACTATTTCCAAGCTATTTCGATTTTTGCGCTGCAATCTGTTACGTCCTGAGCGCGAGTTTTTGGCGGTCTCGAGACGCGACACGAGTTCGTGGGAGCGCGAGCGCGGAGCGGGACGCGCGGAGCGAAGCCTTGGCTTCAACGCGGTGTTATGACGCGTTTTTCTTTCGTGGGAGCGGGCAGCTGTCACCAGTGCTCGGAAATGAGCACGAGATTCGGAGATAATGTATTTAATTTATAAGAGATTGAAATGGCTATCCCCTCGTGTCCTTCCAATAAAATAAAATAGAGAGTTTAGAGGATGCGTCAGTTGGTCTTCATTTCGCAATCACTCTATCTACACTCTCCGTTGGTTTGGAAAGAACAGGAAGGGTGCGAGAAAGAATACAATTGAGTACGGTTTTACGATTTTAATATTTATGTTACACGGCTGTATGGTGTTACGGTCCTTATATTGGGCCGTGAGGTTACTAGGATAGGCCTCGTAGGCTTCCTAACCGGGGCCACGTGCGACGGAAATCGCGGTCTCGGTAGCGGAGGGCGCGTGGACTCCTTTGGAGCCTTCGGTTCAGCAGTAGAGCTGGGCGGCTCTTTCGTTTCCGGCGGGAGCGCGGCGTTGTTGTTATCGGTGGAACGGGCATCGGCCCAGTATCTGGCGGGGTCGAATTCCCCAGATGCGTGGAGTGCCCTTTTCAAAGCGCGAAGGTGCACCCGCCACCCTCCCCTCTTGCTTCTAGTACGCTTCCTTTTTGGCATCTATGTACCCGAAAAGAGAGAAGAAGAAGAATGAGTGCTTGGTGGGGAGGATAGGAACCCTCGACGCCGGTTAAAGCGCTCATTGGAGCTTCCACGAGGAGTATACTTGGATGACAACGCTCCCGTTGAAGCGCGGTCGTCCAAGGGGATAGAGGATAGCCTTCCTCGCCTGGGGAGGCGCTCGGTAAAGGCTGGAGTAAGGTAGGCGATGAGGATGTCCCCTACGCTTAATCGTAAGTGCTGTGAGGGGATCCTCGGGTAAGAGGGAAATAGCCACGCTCAGCGTAAGCGCTCTAGGTATCTTACCTCGGCTATCTTCAGGAGGAAGAATAAGGTGCTTTGCTGTAAATCGTCCTGCTTTATATATGTTTTGTATCGTGACCCCTCGCGGTAAGGGGATGTTTTCGCACACGTGTTGTTGCGAAATTCTCTCGAATGTTCTAATTCTTCTATCGCTATTTATTTAATTATTGTGCGTCTTTTTGTTTTTTCGGTTGTTCCTATTCTTAGCGGGGTTCGCAATACTCCTAGGGGTGTTCTTGGTTGGTACGTGATGCACTCGGTCGCGGCGTAGCTAGCGTGCATCTTTTGCGCGTTTTTTCATTCCGCTTTTCCGCGTATCTTTCGGTTCCTTCTTCTGAAGCGCTCGTGAGTTTCTTTTGTTTGTTTAAGGCTCTCATTTCGTTATTCGTGCCTTTATTTAATTTGCAGTAGCTCCTATTTGCTATTTGAGGCCTTCGTGATTGATGCGCGCGTTTCGCGTTGCATCGCTATGCATTTTGTAAGTGATTACGCGTTTTTACTTGTTCCTGGTGGATCGGCGCTATTTCCTCGCGATTATTTAATTGCTAGTTCTAATGTTCGTTGTTTCCCGTCTTTTAGCGGTGCAATCTACGTGTTCTAGCGCATTTTCTATTAGTTTTTCTATTTTATAAGTCGCGCAGGCGCTGTACGCGCAACGTTCGTTGGCAACGGCTACAGTAGCATGTCCTATAGGTTCTCGCGGCACGTATTGTATCGTTCGCTATACTCTGTGCTCGCGTTCGCTTGGTAAACGGCCGGGGTGTTATAATGTAGCGCACCAGACGTTACACACTAAATGCTTTATCCTTTTTGGATTTAATTTTAATTGAGCATGATATTGACTTTTTTCAGGAATGCTCTTTACTAACTCCTGTAAAAGCCATAAAGCAATTCTTATGATATTATACTTTGAATTAATTTTTGTAGGTATATACCCTACTTTATGTCTCACGTTTTATTATTTATCGACATTAATAAAATGTGCAGAGCTATTGCTAATAAATAAAAAATAATTGACACATGGAAATATAAGTAAATGCTATAATTATTTAAATATATAACGTTATAAACAATATAAAATCAAAGGCATTGAACCACTACGCCAGTTATCGTCAGCAAAAATGATATATTCTATAAAATTTTATTAATAATAATTATTGTTAATAAAATTTTATAGAATAATTATTGTTAATAAAATTTTATAGAATGTATCATTTTCGCTGACGATAACTGGCGTAGTGATTCAATGCCTTTGATTTTATATTGTTTTTAATATTAACCACGTCTCGACCTACATTGTTATAACGTTATAATTATTTAAATATATAATGTCGTATAACGTATGTATGTATATGCCGTTCAACTAGCAAGTATTGAACGACAGAATGTGCACGCAGATAATCTAGATTAGATTGCATTTATTATTGCGGAATATTTATTAATGTGTTATGAAGAATAAACGATTATATACGTAACTATACTTGCAATATTATGTCATATCTTTATACTAGGTATAAATGCGTTTAATGGATGCTTTTCCCTCCATGGCTTTTAACGACTCGTATCGAATTGAAGCTGATAATTTTAGTAAAATATTTTATATATTAAAGTTATACGAAAAATCAATAAGACATGACATAAGCATAAAAGCCTGCGCTAGTTATTATTGCGAATGTTTTCATCAATTTTACATCAAAATATAAACTCTATACGTATCTCTACATTTCGACCTGTAACATTGGTAGGTAAACGTTTGAAAATTTATCCGTATCGCCCTGCTTATTTAAACCATGAGTCTGCTTCTTAAACCGTGAGTCTACT